CAAAGCTGCTAATTAGCACTCCCCCAAGGAAATCAGCAATGCTCCTGGACTCCCTAACCTGGGTGGAAGTGTGATTCCTGTGATCTCTTCTTAGGCTTTGAGAAGCATTAGGTCAGCTAGCTGGCCTCCTCAATCCCATCAGTTACCAGCTGCATTTATGAAACTTGATTTTTTTTTTTAAAAAATCAACTCACAGCCATTGAGTCAGAACTCATAGCTGACCCTCCATTGGTTTTCTGAAGCTGTAAATCACAAAGGAGACTGACCATCTTTTTCCTGCTGAAAAGCTGATGAAGCCAAAACACCAGAAAGTGCAGTCTCTGGGTTGGCAGGGCAACTCCTTATAGATTATGTCACCAGATCTCCCTTTGATTGTTGTAGTAAAAACTTACTAGTGATTCTTTTCTGCTTATTCTAAGAAGGAGCATCTCCCCTACATCTCATTGGTACACTTTCCCCAGCCTCCCAGAAACAGACCCAGTCATAGGCAGGCGTGAGCACATCCTTGTGCATACTGCCTGGGGCCCGCCTTTTATCAGTCAGGAGATGTCCTCTATGTGACAGCTTCTTTCCAGGTCCCTTCAGGTTTCAACTGGGATTTGTCTAAAGCCCTAATTTGCTCAGAATATCTAATGCAGGGATGGTAAACAGTCTTCTTGTTGCTCATTAATGAACTGATTGGAAGTAGCTTACTGACACGTCTCTTAATTAACAAAGACTGTCAGGCACGTGTGCAGGTGCACCTGTGCTGTGAGCATACATGCACATTTGTGTGTATGTGTTAGTAGGAGCTTGGAGAGTCATGCCAGGTATTTGCCGTTGTTGACTGAGAGTATTCCTTAACTACTTCCGGGTTACCAGGTTGCCATTACACATTCACAACTAGGATTTCGGCTTTGAGATTTTTTTCCACACAGCTGAAAGTCCAGAAAGTCTCAGCTACACCATGTGTACTTTTAAAAACACCCTGAAGCAGACCATGGATAGGTATCCAAAAGAGACACACTGTGGTTTCTGCTCAGAACGTCAGCCTTAGGGCAGGAATTGGTGGGCTGGGACGTGCAGCGAGAAGCATGGGAGAAGGTGAGAAGGGACAGTTGTGGTTTACAGAATGTTGACTGGGCATCACTGTTGCTGGCTACTATTATACCTAACACAAAAGCCACTTAGCAGCTCTCTTCAGAAAATGACAGCCGAGAGTAGTGTAACTCATGGCTGACACTGTTTGGACACTTCCTGGCATGTGTGACAAAGACCTGAACACTCCTGGCTTCCACTGGGCTTTCGAAAACACTGGGTGACTCATGATTCCTTGGTTGTCTCCTGTGGAATGGAGCTCCACAGGCAGTGCCAAATGATCCCATTTCAAAACCACATCAAAGAGTCTGCTTTTTGAGGTATCTATCACCTGACAGAAGAATCGATGCCTTTGAGTTGTGATGTTGATGAAGAGTACTGACTATCTCATGGACTGCCACAAGAGCAAACAGGTATGTCTTGTAGAAAGTGCAACCAAAGTGCTCCTTAGAGGCAGGCTTGTTGAAACTTCATCTTATATATTTGGACATGTTATTATGAGGGGCTGGTTCTTGGAAAAAAGATGTCATTCCAGGAAAGGTAGAGGGTCAGTGAAAAGAGAGAAAGAATCTCAACAACATGGATTGACCCAATGACTGTAGCAACAGGTCCACGTATAGCAGAGATGATGAGGATGGCACAGGATACAGTAAAGCTCAGATCAATTGTCCATAGGGTTGTTATGCATCATACTCAATGACATGTAACAACAACAACAACATCACTCCCCAACTCCTTGGAAAGGGAAATTGTGCTTGGAAAGGTGAAGGGTCAGTGAAAGAGAGAAAGACTCACAAAAGATGGACTGGCACAGTAGTCACTGTGCCACAGCAATAGACTCAGGTACATCAGAGATGACGAAGATGGTGCTGTATGGGACAAGGTTCACACTTGTTCACATGGTGATTATGAGTTGTCCTCGACTTGATGGTACAACAACAGCAACAACATTGGGAGCTGTCACATCACCAACTAGTAGCTTCTGATCACACTTAGAAAGAAAGGTGCTGAGGTGAACCTCTTCGGCTCCACGTATCTTCCTTGAGGCCTTACTCACTCATGTCTTATTGTCTCCAACAATGCTGCTCTAGTCATAGTCATTTCCTCATTCCACACACACCCCTGCCTCAGGCCCTCACATCTGCTGAGGCTTTTCTCCAGATACCCACATGACTGCTCGCTCACCTACTTCTTTATTTAAACATCACTTCTCAGGGAAATCTTCCTCAGCTACTCTATTTTAAATTGTCCCCTAGGATTATCTGGACAATGTCCCTCAGAGATTAAATGTCTTAATCTTAGGAACCTGTAATGTTATGATATCTTTCAAAAGACGTAATACAGATGTAGAGTCTTGTTCCATGGTGATGATCCTGGATTATTTAGGTGGCCTGATGTAATCCCAGTGTTCTCAGAAGAGGAAGAGTCAAGGAGATTTGACTACTTGTAAGGAGAATCCAGTGTGGCTACTGAAACAGAGATCATAGTGCTTTGTACTGACAGAGAAGCCTCCAGATTTGACCCTAGAGCTTTTAAAAGGAACCAGCCCTGCTGAAACTTTTGGTGCCGAAACCCGGGAACAAATGTTACCCCTTTTTAGTTTCACGAAACTTACTTCAACATCTGGCCTCCAGAAATGCAAGAGAATCCATTTTTTTCTTTCAAGTGTTTGCAGTCTTTGTTACAGCTGTCACAGAAAACAAATATAACCCCTGAAATTCTTTTTTCTGGAGTGAATGGGGTCAGGGTCCGTGCAAACGCAGACCAGGCTCCTTCTTACCGACCTCAGGGAGGGTAACTCCTCCTTCTTTGGCCTAGGTTCCCATGGGAGTCCTGCTGGCAGGGACTGAACTGAACACCCCAAAAATATGTGCTAGAATCCTGACCCCTGTGCTTGTGGATGCAATTCTGTTTGGAAATAGGATTCTCTTTGTTATGCTAATATGATCTTATAAATGTAAGGTACATTCTAAATCTAATTGATAGAAATAACAGTAAAGATACAGAGACAAGGGAGCAGAAATGTAGAGAGGACAGACTGATAACCAGGAAAGCAGGTAAATCACAAGCTAAGGAACTATAAGGATGGACAGCAAGTAGGAGAGGAAATGGACAAATAGCTAGTGCTCAGAATTCAGAATTCTAGCCTCCTGAACTGTGAGAAAGTAAATCTGTGCTTTTGAAAACAACACACTAGTAGATAGTATTAAAGATAATATGTGTAAAGTGTCTTTCTGTTTGAAGTGCCTGAATAAATGCAAAGAATACTCCCTGCTTATGTTATTTAAATTTTTAGATTGCCAATATGAGCTTGGCTGATAGCCTAAAGTACCATGGGTTGAACTCACCCGGTGGCTCTGAAGGAGAGAAGATTGGTGATCTTCTGTGTTCTGGGAAACCCAGTAGAGTTGGTCTTTTCTGTCTCTGGAGCCATGCTAAGTCAAGTCAACTGTACGGTTTTACCTAACAGCAGTTTACTCTCACTGCAGGCAGATTTCTTGTGCTTTTCGGCAGATGACAACGTTCATGGGAAGTCTATTTTAGAGAAGCCGTGAGAGCTGGAGCTTGTCCTTGTGAAGTACAGGTTGCTAGCAGGTCTGGGCTGGCCTTCCCTAGAGCCATCTTTGGAGGAATTTTGGTCTAAGGGTTCCTGAACCAGACCATAAAAAAAGAGCTGTTTCCTCTTTCTCACAGGCCTTTCCTGAACCACCTCTTTCTGGGGGCAGCAAGATTAACCCAGATTCAGAGAGAGAAGTCCCCAGAGAAGCAAAGACACCTGAGACTCTTGCATCAGAGATCCTCATCCACCACCCTTTAGTGAGATCACATCAATTTTCTTGCAGGTTAGGACATCAGAGCTGAGCTCAAGTAAGCTCCTCTCTACCAGTCCCGTAGACTGTAAGATAGAGCAGAAAATCAAGACAGTGGAGGGTGTATAATTGTTGCTGTGGACTATCGAGTCAGAACCAACCCACAGCTGACCCTCCAGTCAGTTTTCAGAGGCAGTAAATCACATGAGAGGGGACTGTCCATCTTTCTCCTGTGGAGTAGCTGGCAGATTTGAACTACCTGCCTTTGGGTTGCAGTACAATTCCTTACCATGAAGCTACCAGATTTGTTACCTTTCAAGCTGCAGCTGTCGAACTCTTCTGTGTCAATCTTGTCATGCCCCAAAGTAAGCCCACTGTGCACAAGCAGAATCAAAGTGGTGACGCCTTGAGCTGCACTCCCAAACACCAGAGCCCGAGGGACAAAGGGAAGATACCCAAGGACTCTTAGCACTTCCTACTCCCAGATGTGACATTTTTGGCACGAGGTGGATGCCCAGGAAGGCTGGGCTCAGAGAAGAGGACAAAGAACCATTCAGGCCAAATGTAGGTGTGAGCTCCATGTTCCAGCAAGTGGAAGCTGGTTCCCAGCGGGCCTTGGAAGGAAAGCTACAGCTGTGAGTGTAACAGCTGAGGCCACTTCTGACTGTGCGGTACTGGGCAAGTGACACCTTTCAGAGCCTCTGTGTCATCATCGTTTGTAAAGTAAGAATATCAACTGCATAGGATTGCTGTGAAGATGAGTTCACACGAGAATGCTGCAAGGAAATGTTTGGCGTGGCACCTGCCACACGGCTAGTGCCACATGTTAGCTGTAGTGATGACAATCCTGGTGATGACAGTGACAGCAGTGGGTCCTGTGGCTCAGGGACTTTATTTATTGATCCTATGGAGAGGGGCCGACTCTAAGGCCATGCAGCTTCTCACTGCCTCTCCCTTAAGAGGAAAAAAAGCCCTCACTTCAGCATCCACAGGGGCAGTGAGGACTCTACACCCCACAAGACGTGCTCCTCCCGAGGCTGCCTCTGGCAGGGGTATCATATCCTGGAGTACAACCCCTAGAGGAGATGTTGAAGGCCGTGGCAAGACTCTTACCTTGGTTGTCGTAGGAAGTGATGACCTGGGTCTGCTGAGCGTGCTGCTTCTCTGCCAGGCGGTCTATTTAAGGAAGACAGAGAGGCCTGCAGTGACCACAGGGAATGCAGTGGAATTTTCCCTGGGCAGAGCTCAGTCTACAAGAGAGGCAGGCTGAGCACCCCACAGGTTTAGCATCAGCATATGAACGCCATGAGCACACTGCATGGTACACACACTCCACAGTACACACACTTCCATGGTCTACACACTCGAGTGTACACACATCCATGGCATACACATTCCAGGGTACACATCTCCATAGTGTGTGCACTGTATGGTGTACACAGCTTCACAGTATACACACACCTCCATGGTGTACACGCTCCATGGGGTACACACCTCATTGGTGTGCATACTGTTTGGTGTACACAGCTTCACAGTATAAAAACTCCACCATGCACACATACCTCCATGGTGTACATGCTCCATGGGATACACAGCTCCATGGTGTGCATACTGCTTGGTGTACACAGCTTCACAGTATAAAAATTCCACCATGCACACACACCTCCATGGTGAGCATGTTCTATGATATACACACATCTCCACAGTATACACACTTCCAGTGTACACACCTTCATGGTATACAAACTCCACAGTGTACACACCTCCAGGATGAATACACTCCATGGTGTACACACCTTTATGGTGTGCGTACTGTATGGTGTACACATCTTCACAGTATACACTCTCCACAGTGCACACACCTCCATGGTGAACATATTCTATGATATACACACATCTCCACAGTATACACACCTCACAGTGCACACACCTCCATGGTATACAAACTCCAAAGTGTATATACATCCCTGATATAAATACCTCATGGTGTAAACACCCCACAGTGTATACTCACCCACAGTGTACACACCTCCATGGTGTAAACACCTCACAGTGTACACACATCTATGGTGTACATGCATCCCACAGTGTCCACACCTCCCTGGTGTACACACCCCATAGTGTACACATCTCCATGGTATACATAACTCCCTGGTGTACACAGCCCACAGTGTACACTCCTCTATGGTATACGTAACTCACTAGTATACACACTCCACAGTGTACACACCTCCATGGTGTAAACATCTCACAGTGTACAGACATCTATGGTGTACATCCTCCACAGTGTACAAACCTTCATGATATACAAAGCTCCATGGTATAGGTGTACATACTCCATACTGCAAATATATCCATGATATATACAATGACTAGGGAGGACAGAAGGAGAGTGGATGCTTTTGAGCTGTGGTGCTGGAGAAGGGTACTGAATGTACCCTGGACTGCCAGGAAAACAAACAGATTCATCTTGGAGAGGATTAAAGCAAGCTACTCCTTGGAGGCAAGGATTCTGGGGCTTCGTCTGACATACTTTGGACATGTTGCCAGGAGGGACGGGTCCTTGGAGAGGGACATCATGCTTGGGAGGGTGGAGGGACAGCGCAGGAGGGGAAGGCCCTCTATGAGGTGGATTGATTCAGTGACTGGGGTAATCGGGATGGGTGTGTCAGAGGCAGTGCGGTTGGCGCAGGATAGGGCAGGGTTTAGGGCTGTTGTGCATAGGGTCGCTATGAGTCGGAAACGACTCGACGGCACATAACAACAACAACAACATATACCACCCATAGTGTACATAGCTCCATGGTGTACACACCTCCCACAGTGTACACACCTCCACGATGTACAAATCCCACAGTATATACATCATGGTGTACATATTCCACAGTATATATAGCTCCATGGTGTACATATCTCACAGTGTACACACCTCTCACAGTGTACACACCTCCCACAGTGTACACACCTCCATGATGTACATATCTCACAGTGTAAAAACCTCTATGGTGTACATATCTCCATGGTTGTACACACCTCCACGGTGTACAAATCTCACAGTATATAAACCTCCATCGTGTAAACACCTCACATTATACACACCTCTGTGGTGTACACATCTCCATGGTGTCCACATCCCACAGTATATATAGCTCCATGATGTACATATTTCACAGTGTACACATCTCCATGGTGTACATATCTCCATGGTTGTACACACCTCCATGGTGTACAAATCTCACAGTATATACACCTCCATGGTGTAAACACCTCACAGTGTACACACATCTATGGTGTCCACATCTCCATGGTGTCCACATCCCACGGTATACACACCTCAATGGTGTACACCCCCCACAGTGTACATATGGTGTAAACATCCCATAGCATACACACCTCCATGGTATACACAACCCCACAGTGTACACATCCACAGCACATACACCTCTCTGACAGTCGCCCTTTCCCCGTGTGCACACCCCCTCATAAGCGCTGAAGCAGTGATGACAGCCTCTGTGCATAGCCCACCTTGGCTCTCAGCAGGACCGGCACTGCTGTGTCCCCCATGGTAGCCTGGAATGAAGGCCAGGGACGTCCCTCACCCTGACGTCCTCAGGAACAATTTCTAAAACACAGGGCTGTCTCCTTCATCTTCTTCATCTTTCTGTGCAGTAAGCTAGGAGGTTCCTATCCCTGTTTTAACTGAGGATGAGTCTGAAGCTTAGACTAGTCAAAGTTTTGTCAAAATCCCAAAGCCAGGCGGGGCCAGATCTGGCACCTGAGCCATGGGCCCCTGACTTCCCCGCTTAGTCAACCTCTGTGTCAAATAGGGAGTTGGGATAACTTGCTGTTTTGTTCAGTTACACAAGCACTTCTGTGATGTCTGCTCTGAGTGAGTTTTCTCTATAACTGGGAGTAGTCACACTCCTGGGCTGTGGCAGTGGAGGGAGGCAGGCTGCAGCCTCGAGTCCCGAGGGGAGTGTGTCCCCCTGTAAGCACCACCGTCCTTCCTGTCTCCTACCTTTACGGCTGCCTTGACCTGGCCTTATGGGGGACCAGGCTGGAGAGGGCCACCAGCAGGAGGCTCACCCTGTGCCCCCCCCCGCCCTCCCCCCCCAGTCTGCCACAACCTCTCAGTGGTTCGCTGGAAGGTGGTAAGGGCTGGACTGGACACCAGCAGACCTCAGGGGGCCCAGCAGGGACAGATTTCCATTCAAGTGATTCTCCTTGTACCCCTAACTTGTTCTGCCCCTTCCCACTTCCCCTCCTTGCAACCAGGCACAACTCAGAGTGGAAGGCAGGCCTTAACTGGGCTGAACTTGGGGTTCCCCTGCCGGGGTCGTGCTCCCTTGTAGGGCCTGCCTGCTCCAGCCTCTGTCAGTGAGTGGGCTCTGTCAGGCTCTGGAGCCCCCGGGGCCACGGTCAGTGGGCCCTGGGCCAGGCCCGTGCTGTGTGCCAACCTGGGGTGAGCTGGGATGCCAGGCTGGAGCCCCAGGCCAGACTCAGGCGAGTCCAGGGACTCCTGTGGGCTCAGCTGGCTGTGTCTTCCCTTAGAAACAGGATCTGGGAAGGGAATCCTCATGGAGGTGATTGGCTGGCATAGCCGCGGTTGGGTATTTATAGGCAGGTCTGCACCACTGGTTTCCCTGTAGCTGTGGGGCAGCGGCCCTTGCTGCTAGGCAGAGTTCAGCCAGGACGAAGGAAAGCAGCCAATCACAGCAGGGGAAGCCCGTTGCTGGACAAGCTACTGGGCTGAGTGGGGCCCAAACACATGCTGCTGAGATGTTTGGATGCGGGCCCTTACCCATTCCTCCTGTAACACCCCCACCTGAGGGGTGCACAGGGCAGCAACTCCGTGCTAGGCCACATGCGCAGTGCCCCCCACACGCTGCCAACCATGTCCTTCTCAGATGAAGCCACCAACGACTGGGGCAGGGAGGCCTGCTGGTCACAGCACTAGGTACCGGCCAGGCGGCAATGGCAGGAAAACAATACTATACCCCGAAGCCTGCCGTCAGAACACAGTTGGAAAAGTCGTTTTCGTCTGTGCATCTATGCAAGTGTGTCATTAGAAAAAAAGAAATGGACATTGGCTTTAAATTATATGTACGGTGGAGTTGTGGAACGACTATCTTCCCAGGGGTCAGGGGCCCTGTAGAATCTCTCTCCAACGCTGCATTTACCCAAAACTCTCTGTCCTGAGTGGTTTTGCAAGAGCTGTTTGAATCATCTCCTGTCAACAGACGTCTTCGTTGCTAAGCCTCACTTTCTGTCTTTCGCAAGAGCCTTGTCATAGTCTCCCCACCATTAACACGTCACTTTGCGTTTTGTTGTTATTTCTTTCTAACCTTTTCCCCAGACCCGGAGTTCAGAAGATGACAAAAAATAGGATGCATTCTGTATATTTCAGTTTCTCCTCATGTAGTAACAAGCGCAAGAAGCCATAAGTTTACTCAGGTGACTTCTGGAGGATGAGGTGGAGCTGTGACAGGTGAGGAGGGCATACACTTCTGCTGTTACCTGGGGTCACTCCTCACTTGCCCGTGAACACCCTGTGGCACGCATGCGCTGTGCGTGCTGACACGTATTCCTCTGGCTGACAGGTCTCTGGGGGTCTGACTCTTGCTAGACGACTCAGACGCCACAGCATAATCCCTCTAATTTTGATATCTACCCCCTTTACTCAATGGCACATAACAACAACAACAACCCCCTTTAAGTAAAGCCAGAGTGAGCACGTATCCCGTGAGCCCTGGGAATGAAGACTTGGGCGTCACTACACCCGCACTCGCCCACCACCAGCCAGGCAGCAGAGAGAATGGTTCCCCCAAGCCAGGCATGCGCTGAGAATGACTCCCATCCATGGGCAGTGGGGGACAGAAACACTGAGATTCCAGGGAAGTGACTGATGTCATCCTCAAAAGCATTTTAACATCACTCCACAGGGAAGAGGATCTTGAATGTCTCACACACTGTTTCGTCCCCCGTAATCAGAGCCACGCTCAGCACAAAGTGGACATTAGAGATATCTGTTGAGGGCATGAACGAATGCATTTACTTTGAAAACATCATCCTTATCTTTTCCTTCACTATTGTCTGAAGGAGGGCAGGCCAGAACATTCTGCTGATTGGTCTTGGCCAATCACTGGATAGAATGCCAAGGCCTCAGTTTCTCCATTTGTAGGAGTGACCCCCTCAATCTAACACTGGGTCAACCAATGATCTGATCTTGGGCCCACAGAGCCAAGTTCACTGGGAACCTCCTTCTGTGTATGTCAACAACCCAACTCATTGCTGCCAAGTTTTCAGAGGCTGTAAACCAAACGGGAGGAGACTGCTTATGCCACAGAGCCAGCCGGTGGGTTCGAACCACCTGCTTCTGGGTTGGCAGCATAACTCTTGACCTGCTAGGTCACCAGAGCGTCACTGGGGTTCTTGGGAAATTAGATATGAGAAATTAATTTATGTTGTTGGTGTTAGGTGCTGTCAAGTCACAGATGACTCATAGCGACCCTATGAATGAAAGACCTGAGCACTGTTCATAGAGTTTCCGGAGGCAAGCCATTTCAGAAGTGGATGCCACTCCTGCTTCCAAGCTTGTTTTAATTGGGAAGCTCCACCAAACACTGTCCATCCACCATGGGTAACCATTATCACATTTGACACATCAGTGTCACAGTGTTTAGCATCACGACAACCACGAGTTACCTCTGTACAGCAATGCACAGACCAGTGCTGTATCACTTAGAAGAATGTTTGTCAAAAAATAATTTAAACCAGGCCTGAGTGCCACAGATTAAAATCACCCACCTTGGGCTTGATAGCATAATTTTCTGTCCACTAGGCCAACGTAGTCCTCTCTATGTATATTAATATATACTATCAGAAATTCCCAAGGGCCCTCAATGCGCCGGCACTGACCTTTAGACTCTCTGAAGGAAACAGAATAGGCTATGATAGTTTCTCTATCCACAGCACACATTCCCTGAGAGATTCTGAATCTGCAGGGTGGCTGCCGCCTGTCATCAGAACGAGGCAGCTTTGGAAACTGACTTACTGTATTTGAGGATGTGGACGAGCCATAAACAGGCGCTGCATGGCATAGACGTCTCCAAGTCCCAGGGGAACGTGCTCAAAACTACCATCCCAAATGATGCCTAGGGCTTCCGATAGCTCAAGCCACATGGGTGGGCACTCGGCTTACGCATCCCATCCACCCACAGCCTCTGAGAGTGGGGAGCGGGGGCCATGACAGGGTCACAGTGGCCCTCGAGGCCTGACTATCACTGTCACCTGTCCATGATTAGCTGTCTCAGAGGCCAAACGAGAACAAGTGAAAATCAAGCTGTCCGGTCATTCCCCTCCCTCCAATGTGTGGAATCCCAGATGCTGGGAAAGAAAAGAAAGAGCATTTACCATGCAGGTCATTTGCTTCCATTCTCTGCCACTTCCGGATTCCGTTTCCGACTCCTTGGAGTCCTGTGAAATAATAGAGGTTGGCATGAGATGCTCTGCGGTGGGGGCGCCAGGCAGAGGCGAGATAATGGTGATTGCAGACCTATCTGGGCTAACGTGGAGGGACGTGGCTCTCAAGGATCGAGAGAAGCTGCACTACTACTACTCAGATGCATTTGGGGAACAAATACAACTCTCAAATTTTAAGCCACTGATAATATTATAAAACAGTAGTTTTCAAGGGTTGTTGTTGTTGTTATTATTGTTATTGTGTTGTTGTTAATTGCCTTCGAGTTGAGCACGACTCATAGTGACCCTATGAACAAAAGGGGCCTAAAGCCCCTCTACAATCATGGACTTTTACAAAAGTTCACTATTATGTTGTCATTTGTTTGTTATGTGCCGTCGAGTCGTTTGCGACTCACAGAGACCCTATGCCCAACAGCCCTAAACCCTGCTCTGTCCTGTGCCAATCGCACTGCCTCTGACACACCCATCCCGATTACCCCAGTCACTGAATCAATCCATCTCATAGAGGGTCTTCCCCTCTTGCGCCGTCCCTCCACCCTCCCAAGCATGATGCCCCTATCCAAGGACCTGTCCCTCCTTGCAACATGCCCAAAATATGTCAGACGAAGCCCCAGAATCCTTGCCTCCAAGGAGTAGCCTGGTTTAACCCTCTCTAGGATGAATCTGTTTGTTTTCTTGGCAGTCCATGGTACATTCAATACTCTTCTCCAGCACTACAGCTCAAAGGCGTCAATTCTCCTTCTGTCCTCCCTAGTCATTGTCCAACTCTCTGATGCATAACAAGTGATTGCAAAAACCATGGCCTGTATCAGGTGCACCTTATCAAGTATGACCCATAACGACCCTGTGAAGAAGAGATCTCAATGCTGTCCTGTCCTGTGCCCTCCTCACCATCTGACGTAAGTGTCCATTTCTGCAGTCACTATGCCAATCTATCACATTAGGAGTCTTCCTTTCGCTAACCTTTCCAAGGATGATGTGCATGTCCAAGGAATATCTTTCCCTAGCACCATGCCCAAAATATGTGAGACAAAACGTCACCATCTTTTCTCCAAGAAGCACTCTGGCTGCACCTTTTCCAAGACTTATCTGTACGTTTGGCAGTCCATGGGATATTCGGTACTCTTCTCCAACACAATAATTCAAAGTCCGATTAGTTATCAAGATTATTCAGGGAGAATTTTCTCAATGTCGTTGTTGTATACCACTGAGTTGGAACTGACCCAAAATCCTCCAGGGGGTTTTCAGAGGCAATTAGTTGCACGGGAGGAGATTATCCCTCCTTCTCTCACAGAGCACCTGGTGGATTTGAACTGCATGCCTTCAGGGTTGCAGTGCAGCTTTTTATCACTAGGCCTTCAGAGCTCCCTAATTCACACACACACACACACACACACACACACACACACACACACACACACACCCTATTTTCTTCTCCTGCATCTCTACCATATAAATAAGGACACGTCAACTTAAAAGACATTTGCCATTCATGCTTCTTATCTACTTGCAGATGTGGGGTGGCGAGTCCCCTCCTTTTATACTTTCGATGGAGCGGGAGGTGCAGACACTGCCTAAACCAATGGGGACTGAAAAATGACGGCTTCCTGGTGCCCCAGTCGTCCTTGCAGGCGCGGCAGGTGCACGCGTGGCCTGGGCCTACCTGCGCCTGCCCGGGCCTCGGTGATGCAAGGGGGTGAGGACGGGAGCTCGCTGCCCAGCGGCGGGTGGAAGTGGTGGCTGCACAGTTGAGTTCTTGGCACGAAACTGGCATACATTCTGGCAGCCACAAGAGCTGCAATAAAACCGAGTTCCTGGCACAGAAGGCGCACCCACAGCTTCTTGATGGCGGCGGAGGTTTCCTCACCCGACCAGCTCCACGGCTCGCGTTAAGCTACCGTCGCGGGAAGCCCAGTATCTAGCCTGCTTCTTCCAGTCTTTTCTACTGCTGAGTGTGCTCCCCCAATTAAAAAAAAAATCTTTTCTGCAGAGCAAGCAATTTACCAATCAGAGTGCTCACGGATGCACTTAGGGAGTAGAATGCATCATTTGGGGGTTAGGGACCTAAAAGACGCTAACAACTTCACAGTCCTTCCAGACTTGGTGCAGGCAGCTTTGGACTCCCCCCCACCCCTACCCTCACTGGCAGAAGAATATATGGAATCTCAGCTCGGGTGGCCTAGTGGTAAGAAGCGGTGCTGCAGCCCTGAATGCATGCTGTTCTAATCCACCAGCTACTCTGGGAGAGGATGGGCATTTCCTCCTGTGTGATTAACTGCTTCTGAAAACCTGCTGGAGGGTCAGCTATGGGTGGATTCCGACTTGATGGTAACACACACACACACACACACACACACACACACACACACACACACATTCCGCTTCTGGAGGATGAAGGCTTCCACATATGTCTTTGAGAAGCCTTGTTTTAACACTGTCTGTTGTTGTGTACCATTGAGTCCACAGCAACCCAAAGCTGACCCTCCAGCAGAGGGTACCATGGACTGCTAGGAGAACAAACAGATTCCTCCTGGAGAGGGTTAAACCCGGCGGCTCCTTGGAGGTAAGGATTCTAAGGCTTCGTCTAACATACTTTGGTCATGTTGTAAGGAGGGACCGGTCTTTGGAGAGGGACGTCATGCTTGGGAGGGTGGAGGGACAGCGCAGGAGGGGAAGGCCCTCTATGAGGTGGATTGATTCAGTGACTGGGGTAATCGGGATGGGTGTGTCAGAGGCAATGAGATTGGCACAGGACAGAGCAGAGTTTAGGGCTGTTGTACATAGAGTCGCTATGAGTCACAAGTGACTCGATGGCACATAACAACAACACCACCACAGAGGAGGAGATCGCCCCACCTCCTGCTCTAACAGTGCCTAGGGTGATGCCGACAGCCTGTTTGGCTACTAATGGCTGGAGGTTTGATTTCATCCAGAGGGGCTTCTTAACAAAGGCCTGGTGACCGCCTTTGGGGGGAATCAGACATTGAAAATCCTACAGCGCATAGCTCTTCTTCGACATAAATAGGATCACCAGGAATTGGAATCCTATTCCTCTGACAACGGCTTGTTGACACCAAGGAAGTGGCTTGGAGAATGCGAGCGCCTTCAGAGGACAGGCAAAAGCACCCATTCCTGACAGTCCACGTTCCTGAGGATCCATCCTACCCAGGTTTTCTTCCTCCCTCTGACTCCTTTCCAGCCACAAGGCCACGGCAACAGCAGCTGCATGGCCCCATCTCCACACAGCCCTCTGCCATCTGGCAAGAACTACTCTTGCCTAACACGGAGCTCTGACCCTCTTCTTTGCAGAGCTGAGGACCTGGGACGGGGGTGGGGGGGATGGGGGTGGAGGCAGATGTCGGGGAGCAGGTGCTGCCTTGCTTTGGATCCGGTGCCTCGTCAGGAGGCCGTGGGACACGTGGGTCCTGTTGGGGAACTTCCTCTCCTGCTGGCTGCGTCCTGAGGGAGCGGGCCTGGCCAGGGACCTCCTGGACCTCACTGGTGCCCAGCCACCCTGGGAGGCGAGGGCTTTGCCTCTTATCTGCGCTCTGGCACAGAACTGTTGGTGATTGAGTCCACGAGAAACTTCCATCAGACAAATATTTGGAGGGGGAAAAAATCAGCCAAAAAGACCAGCAAGCAGGGATTTCTTTTTTTTCTGCCTGAGGCCTGAGTGTGAGCGGCTTTTGTTCAGGGAAGCGAGCAGGCCTAGAGCCTGACATTTCCTAGGCTTCTTCATGTTCCTCACGACTCTTTCTAGTGTCAGAGCACTTAGGGGAAGCAAACTGTGCGGGAGGTGGTAACTCTCAGGCCGACTGTGATCTGGGTCTCAGGGGACCCTTTGGTTTTGCCACACCCTGAGGGGGGTGGTGTGTGTGTGTGTGCCCTCCTGAACTGTTGCATGTGTAGCAACAGCAGTCTCATTTTTTTGCTAATTTCTGAAGCACAAATACCCTGCCAGGGCTCTCTCACCCTCTCCCAGGAACAGCTTTGGGAATTGAAACACAATGGATCAAAACAACGGCTTGCTCCTCAAACTCCTCCTGAGTCCCGTAGCACCTGTCCACATTCTCAGCCTTCCGGAATCGCTTTCCTCCTGGTGCCCAGGCAACCAGAGCGAGGCCTTCTGCGGCCCCATTGCCTCAACAGGGCAAGTGGAAGTGGGGGCGGTGGGGGGGATGCTGACACTGGATGTGCACAGGGCTCCGGGGTACAGGAATCCTGGGGACAGGGTAGCAGCAAGGACGCTAAGGAATGCTAGTGCAGGAGGGGAGGTGGGAGGCAGAAATTCTCTTACCAAATGGGCTGTTGAACATCGATTGTTCTCAAAGACCTGGCTGCTAGTTACTCCAGCGCATGCTCATAACAGCCTCCCTGAGCGCTCAAGGCTTCTTCCTCATAGACACCCTGAAACCTCTGCGGGGCTTTTGGAAACCTACATTATTATCCAACCGTAATCTATGGATATCGCGTTAGATCCTCTGGACAATAACCAGAGGTCTGGCTTCTGCTTTCTGCCATCTCTCTGTTGTGGTTTTGTGGGCCCCCCCCCCCAGTCAATTCCAGCGCCAGGAGACACTACATGTTACCGAGCGGAACTGCGTCGTAGGAATCTTTATGGAATCAGGAGGTTTTGCTTGCTTGCTTGCTTTCCTAAACATTTTTCCCCCCCCAAGAAGCATTTTAGGATGCTTCAGGTGAATGTTTACCTAGCAAATTTGTTTCCTCCATGAATAGTTTACGCACAAATTGTCCAATCCAGAGACTGGTTACAAATCTCTGCAATGTATCAGCACTATTACATCCTCCCTGGGTACCCCATCAGTCCAGTGACCTTGTCTCCTTATACTTGGTTTGGGGCAAATGCACTAAGGCTTTTCTTAGTGGTCCCACTGGGTGAGTTGGAACTGCCAAACTTTCAAGCGCCACCTGCGCTCCAAACAAGAACCCCTGTCCCCAAAACAAGCTCCTTCCTGTCCAGTGGATTGTGAATTATGGTGACCCTACAGGACAGGACAGAAGCTCACCACTGGGTTTCCAAGGCCTGTGAAACCTTTGCAGAAGCGGCTAATCTGATATTTTTTCCTGAAGAGCCACTGCATGGTGCGTTCAAATAAGTTTTCTTTTGGTTAGCGACTGAACACTCCCAGTCACTGCGCCACCAGGGCTCCTTCACATCCCTCAGGAGTCACTTCATGTCACCAGTCGACCCTTCTCCAGAAAGTGGGTGGGACAAGTAAAACTAAAGGACAAGCTTAAGTGAGAAGCACAGATTGCAACCTTCACCCAACCCAAGCTGGTGTTCCCTTTACGCCTTATGTCTGTGGGAGGTTGATAGAGTGCAGAGAACAGGGAAACTGAGGCCAGGAGTTGCGCTAGGTCACAGCGATTTCAGAGTCTGGCATCCCCTCCAGCACGTGGTCCTACACAAGTTCTCCAGCCTCCCCAGTGCCCTTCAGTGTGCTCTGGGGCCACCTAGGAGTCAGGTCCAAGGCTCCATCCTTTGCTGCAGGACATCTTCAGAACCAGATCTGCACCCAGTGACCAGAGATGGGGGACCAAGCTGGGGATGGAGGATGAAGCACTCTTGGACACGTGCAGGGAGTCAGCCAGGGACAATCAATGGACTGTGGGTTACCACTGGACAGCAAGGAGCAGGGGCGCAGGCGGTGGTGCACAGGGCGGTCGCTCTGGCAGACCTCGGTTAGGAGCGCGGGAAGCGTCCCCCCAGCAGGCGAGCCCCAGGGTGGGGAGGAGGTCGAGGGGCCCGCGTGCCCACGCCGGGCGTCAGTTACCTCCTCGGCGCTGCAGCGGCGCGCCCGAGTCCGCCTGGTGTTCCGAGTGCGCGCCGTGTGCGGCGCGCCGCTTCTCCGAGTGCACGATCAGCAGCATGTCGATGGCCACGGCGTTGTCGTCCTTCTTCAGCTCCATGGTGCCGCCTCCCTTCCGGCCAGCGCGCCGCGGCCGCTCGCGAGGCTGCCTGCGCTGCAAATGGCCCCGTGCGCGCCGCTGCCGGCGCGGGAGAGGCGAGGGCGCGGAGAGGGCGCGGAGAGGGCGCTCCCCCGCCGCCCGCCGCTGGCCGCCGCGTTTCGCTGACTCTGCCAAACACGCTATTAGGGCCCTGCTGGGAGGGCGCTGCCCTGATGAAGCAGCTATAAGTCACCTTTGAAAGGAAATCCCCGGGCCGAACCCTGACCTGCCCTGGAGGCCGCAGCGAGCAGAGACGCATGCCTTCCAGCGCCTTCCTCTGCATCCCCTGCTCCCAGCAGTGAATCGGGGTGTGTGGGGGGGTGCTTGTCCCTGTCCCCAGAGAGGGCTCGAAGGGGACCTCCACTGGGAAATCATTACAAAAGCTAAATTTGCACAACGAAAGCCCGTTCAGGAAAATGGGAAAGGGCTTGTTTTGGCCTTGACCATGCTCATTACCCAGTGGGCTGTGGAGGGTGATAGCTCCCCTTGTAGTAGGGAGCCAAGTAGGGGTGTTAGGAGGAACCTCCCCCAGTTTGGGCCGCATTAGATCTTGGAGGTGCCCACTGGGCGTTAACCTAACAGCCCTCTCAGCCTGAAATGAAAACAAAATAAAACTTTTTAAAAGTCCCTGTTCTTTCTAGGCCCTGGCTCTTGTCCTGGGGGAGGGGGAGGCCCTGGCGCACTGAGCTGCCGCGTTTGCCTGCTCACCCGTCAGGGAGCTGGACCCGGGAGGCCATTCTATTTTTACCCTGGCCTGGCCAGCACCCGCAGCTCCCTTGGCTGCAAGCTTCAGGAGTGTTTACACTGTCATCTGCCTGGTGGCTCTTGGCACCAGGAACCCACCGGACTTGGGGACAGTCACCTAATTTGAGTGTCAGTGGTTAATAGATGGATCCCCAAATGGAAGGCTTTGCTGTCAGGACTCTTCCCTGCTTCGGGGCGCACTGACACCCGCTTGCATCATGGTTCCCAGAGCTGCCATCTTCCCTATGGGTATACCCTGCTGTCACCCAGGGTTCCCACGTCTGCTCCCCCCATGCAGGACTAAAATACCTGGGGCCATCCATGTTGTGAGAGTTACCTGCAGTAAGTGGCCTGGTGCGTAATTGCTGTTGTTGTTATGGGCCATCTGTCTAACCCATTCAAAGCTGAACCTTCAACGGGTTTTCAGATGCTGTAAATCGAAAGGGAAGAGACTGCTCGTCTTCCTCCTGTGGAGTTGCTAGTGGATTCGAACCCCATCTGAAATGACAACGCAGCTCCTTTACAGTGGGTCCCTAGAGCTGGGGGCATAATTGGTGATCTAGAAATGGTAGCCGTGTTCTTAACTTTGAGAGTGATGTGGCTAGCAAGTCAATGATGGAGGGAGTGTCACAGCATCAACTCTCACCCTTAGCTCTCTTTCCCCTGTACCTGGTGTTCATGGTTTAGTCTCCACATAAAATTGGCCCCTCATTGCATTACTCCCTCACCCGCTGGGCCACAAAAGAAGAGGTCACCTGCTTCTTAGGGCCATAGAGGGGTGCAGGAGGGTGACTCCTAAGTCTACTAAGTAGGGCATTGCCATTTCTTGTCCTGTCCTGGTTCTGGAGAGGACCGGAAGGAGATACTTCCTCTGAGAAACCAGGACAAACATAAAAACCACAATGAAGTACCATCTTAACACAGTAGCAGTGGCAAAGTTTAACAGAACAGCAAGTAATAAATGTTGGAGAGGATGTGGCGAGAGAGGAAATCTTATACACTGTTGGTGGGATTGCAAAATGGTACAACCTCTCTGGAAGGCAGCTTTACATTTCCTCAAGAAAGCTAAACTTAGAAATTCCTAATGACCTAGCTATCCCATTACTTGGAATATACCCTGAGAAAATGAGACTTGTACACCAATGTTCATAAAAGCATTATTCACCATTGCAAGAACATGGTAACAGCTCAGATGTCCAACCACAATCAAATGGATGGAGAAATCATGGTAACATTCACACAACGGAATACTGTGTGCAGCACACGGGAGCAGTGATTTACCTAACTTGGGAGGGACTGGAGAGCATTATGCTGAGTGAACTAACTCAGTCCCATAAGACAAATACTGAATCAGGCCATTATTGTAAAATGAATATGATGATTCAAGGGAGGGGGAGGGTGGAAGCAGAGGTGTAAGTATGGGGGGTTATTAACCATAGGGTTGAACAATTTGATGTGTGTGAAGGAAATGGGAAGTGTGAAAAACAATGTATTTCAATTTGGTAAGTAAATCTGTAAAATGTAAAAAAAATAAATTAAAAAAAAATCACACTCCTGTCTGCATCACCACACACACACACACTCACTCACAAAAGTCAGAGGCTGCATAAGCCAGGTCCCTGCTTTCTATTGTAGTTGTTGTTTGCCATCCAGTCAGAAACGACCCATAGCTGACCCTCCAGTAGGTTTTCAGAGGCAGTTAAATTATGGGAGGAGATTGCCCGGTTTTTTCTTCTCTTTTCAAAAGGCAGCTGGTAGATTTGAACCACAGGTCTTCAGGATTGCAGTGCAGCTTCTTACCACCAGACAGGGAGGTAATCTCATACTTAATGTGAGTAGAGCTATGATCCTTAGAATTTTTGGGAAGTAAGTTAGCAGACCTTTTGCCCTGAGGTGCCTCTTGATAAACTTGAACTGCCAGCCTGTGTGTTAACACTTTGCGCTCCACAGGATGAATTGAAAAGGATAATGCATCTGAGGGGGACTGGGATTAATTTCTTTCCCATGTCGCTTTTTAATTTGATCAAGTGGATAGCATTGTTCTAAATGGCCCATTTTTCATTCCACAAAGCAAGAAACTAGGTCCATGTGAAAAACAATGTATATGAACTTTGTAGGTAAACCAAGAATAATAATAAAAAGGTATTTTCTAATTATAGACAATGCACGCTCATTATTGAAAACTTAGCAAACCCAAGAGACGCATTGTTTCTAGGTGCCTTTGATTTGCTTCTGACGCCGATCTGTACCACAGTGCTGCCGAGCCTCACACCACCCTCACCACCATTGCTGTATTTGTGAGTCTTGTTTTATCTCTTGTGCCAGTCTGTCTTATGGAGGATCCGCTGACTTTAAAAATCGCATTGCCCTTTTCCAGGGACTGGCCCATGATAATGTCTTAAAGAAAGGAGATGGAGTCTTGCCACTCTCACTTTTCAGTTTTCTAACAAACATTCTGATTCTATGTCTTCCAAAACAGATTTGCTCGTTTTGGTTAGCCAACAACATAGTTCAAAGATCTAATTTCGAAAAACAGGATCTAACTTCTTCTTCAGTCTTCCTCAGTCATAGGCGAATGAATGAGTTGCCCCAGGGTTGCATCGATTCCTGACACCTGGTTTCCCCTAGTGTCTTCAGCGTAAGTAAGCTTAGAGGCCTCTCATTGCAGGACCTTCGGCTCTTGCTCATGGGCTGTTTCTGGCGATGCACCCATTCTTCTTGATACGGTGAATCCATGTATCCCTCCCATCTTCTTTCACTGTTTCCGGAATCAATCAAGAATTCATTTCTAGAATCTTTCAGTACCACAGTGTGAGGACTGATTCTTCCCTCCCTTCAGTTCTTAAGAAATGCTGAGATAAAAAAAAAAAGAAATGCTGAGATCAATGCTGTTTTTTTTAAACTCCAGGTCTTTGCACATTTCATTACAATACTTTGTCTTTAGAATTCCTCCGTAAGATCTTCTGTTCTGCTTTTTTTCTTTTTTTAAAATTTATTATCAATTTCATTGACATTTTAAAAAATAATTTTAATGAGCATTTATAGAGATTTTGGATTTCTCTCCCCACCCATCCCTCCCCCTGTTCTACTCTTTTTATATCATCGTTTTATATACTCGTATACTCTCTCTCTCTCAAACACACACACACACACACACACACACACACACACACACACACGGAATGCTGTTAGGAGAGAGAGAGAGAGCTACAAAGAGAGAGAGAGGTACAGAGAAAGAGAGACAAAGTTACAGAAAGAAGTAAATGAAACTACTGATATTCCATCAGAGATAATAACTTTAAAAAATTTTTTTGAGATTTTAATGAAAGTTTATAAAGAACTTGGGTTTCCAATCCTTCATTGTTGCACATTTTCCTCTCTGTTCCCCCTCCCTTCCTCCCAGATCACTTTTTTCTTTGGGGAAAAAAGTTCTTTCATTGCTATTCAGTCCCCCCGCCCCCACTTTACTATGAAGATCTTATTCTGGACTCTTGTCATGCCGATTACATCTAATCCTATATTCCTTTTGTACAGTTTTCTTCCTTGTGTGTTTCATTATTTATTCCCTCTTTTCTTAGCTTCCCCAACCCCCTTGTCTGTCCTGTTTTAGAACTTTTAAACATTTTGTTACTTAGCATTTCCTCTCCATTATTTGTTCAACACATGGAATAAGTGGATCACGCCCAAAAGACCAAACTTGTTGCTTGTGGAGACAATTCCAGCTCATGGACACCCTAAGCGACAGACTGGAACCCACACATTTTTTTTTAAAGATGTAATCTTTTTTCCTAAATTTTTAAAATTGTGATTATAATGAAAATTCACAGAAAAGTTGACTTTTCATGCGTTCGTTGTTGCATATTTTCCTCCCTACTTCCCTAGTTCACTTTTGTTTTGTTGGGGATAAAATGTTCATTCATTGTTGCATAAGGATGTAATCTCACTGAAGGAGACTGCTGCATCTTTCTCCTGTGGAACAACTGTTTGTTGTTGTTGTTGTTATGTGCCATTGAGTCACCTGGACAACAGCCCTGAACCCTGTTCTATCCTGTGCCGATCTCATTGTCTCTGACACACCTACCCCCATTACCCCAGTCACTGAATCAATCCACCTCACAGAGGGCCTTCATCTCTTTCTCTGTCCCTCCACCCTTCAAGCATGATGTCTCTCCCTCTTCAAGGATGGTCCCTCCTTGCAACATGCTTAAAGTATGTCA